CTTGCCATCTGCCACCACACTTTGCAGCTGGCTTTCTATACACACAGTTTAAAAACAAAACAAAAGGAAACAAAAGAAAGAAGAAAAGAAAAAAACATATTCAAGGGAAAAACATGAAAAGGATTAAAAGGAAAGGGGAAATGAAGTAATGTTTTTAAAAAATCTTTTTAAAGATAAAAAAGTAAATAGTTCACTTTAACAAAAATGTGTGTGTGTGTGTGTGTGTGTGTGTGTGTGTAGTCCTTACTCTCTTAGAACTCTCTATAGACCAGGCTGGCTTAGAGATCTGCCTGGCTTTGCCTCTGGACTGTTGGGATTAAAGGTATATGCCACCATACCTGGACATTTTAAATTTTAAAATAGCAGGAAACTGGTTATATGACAAATATCTTGACAACAGTACAGAATTAGGAGCTAGGGAGATGGTTCAGGGGGTGAAGTATTTTCTGTGCAATAATAATGGTCTAAATTCAATTTCTCAATACTTATGTAAAAGCATTATGTATCAGTGTGTGCCTATAACTCAAGCTCTGGGGAAAGTGAAGAAAGAAAAATCCTTCAGGACTTGATGATTGGACAGGCTAGTCCAATAGGTGACCTTCAAGTTTAGTGAGAGACCCTGTCTCAAAAAATTAAGAGCAATAGAGCAAGACAGCTGGTGTTGGCCTCCATGTATGCATATACATTAACACACATATACAACACATAAAACTGTTCTTGCAGGATCCCAAAAAAATCTTTCTGAGAATCTTCTTTCACTCTCCTCTCATTGTCTTCCATTAGTCTAGATGTTTTGAGGGATTCTCAGAACAGTAGTGGGTAGTAATTCATCAATATTCCCCATCTTCTTTAGTAAAATTTCACAAACTTTTACTTGGCAGTATAGACATCCAAGGTAAAAACCACACTTCAAACATCTATATGTGCTCAATGTGATTAAATTCTAACAAATGTATGCATGTAGGTGCTGCAGCAGGAAGAATGTACAATCTGCACCCTTAGTTGCCCTGATAGGATTGTTGACATGATAGCTGGACCTTATAACATAGTCTCAAACCATTTACTGATAATGGTATACCAGCACTTTAAAGAAACCACAGGCTCTTTATCATGGGCTATGTGCCTGCCAACATCAGTCTTTTTTTAAGAAATAATTTAAACTATATACTGTTTAGATCATGATTGTTCTGTGATTTCTATTGTAACTAAAATCTATCCTAAGTTATTCAATATCTTTGAACATAAGAAGCAGAAAAGGTATGTCAAGGTAAGTCAAGCAATTTGGAGACTTTTTTCATATAAGGAAAAAATCTCACAGCTGGTTAATTCAAGATCAATGGGTCTATATTTGGACATCTTTCTGTTATGTCCCTAGCTGTTCTCTCACAAGTACCCCATCCTTTAGCCCTTATGTACAACTTTTGTTCCCCACATATGCCAAGCTCTTTTTATTATTTTTTACTTCAGTTTTACTTTGGGATACCTTCCTTCTCATTTTTGCATGCTGTCTTTCTTAGTCAGCTTGAAGCTTTCTTAACCAAGTACTGAATCAACTGAATTGCTCAGATAACAAACTTAGTTTTTTACAAGTCTAGAGGCTAGAAGATCAGGTTGTGTTTTTAGTCTCTGTGTTATCTGATTTGAGCTCTTTTCCTGGAATGGACAAGGCACCTTTTTGCTGTGTCCCTAAATAGCAAACATCATAAATTCTCTGATGTCTTTTATGAAAAGACTAATCCCATTTAAATAACATTCTAGTCTTTATAACTTCATTTATCCTTAAAGGCCCTATCTCCAAATGCAGCCAGTGGAGATTATGGTTCTAACATATAGATTTAAGTGTACATAGTCATTTACTTTATACCACCTAAGAAACTTTTCTTAATCCTTTAAGATACAATTCAAATCTCATTTCTTTTAGAAACCCTTCTTGACCCCCATGCTTGAAATCACTTCCTTTTAAGTTTCTATATTTTATATGGTATGGTATATTTGCATTGAACAAAAATGGATATTTCAGGTGTCACTATCAAGCCATTTAAGAGTAGGGATAGTACCCTGTTTGCTTTTTATTCTAACTACTAGAACAATATTTGACACTAAAATTTTATTTAAAAAATACTTTAAGGAAGGGGAAAGGAAAGAAACATTACAACCTTAACTTTCCAAACAATTGAATTACAATGCTGCAATGTCACTGGTCCTGGTAGCTCAATGATAAATCCAACTTTCAGACCTAGTAGTTAGGGTATCTGAGTTAAAATTATATTTTCCAACTGGGTTTGGTGACTCACTCCTATAATCTTAGCTCTTGGGAAACTGATACAAAAGGCAGAGTAGACTGGTCAATTCTACTAAGTTGGCACAAGTTCAGGGCAAATCTGTGCTACACAGTGAATTATAGGACAACCTGGGATACAAAATGAGCTCCTGTTTCAGAAACTGTATACAAATAAATCAAAACAAATAAGTAAAGAAGATGTTTTTCAACTCACAAATATATGGTTTTGTTATTTACTGTGAGAGATTTAAAACAATTCTTTATATGGGACAAAATCTCACATTTAGCTCTGTCTCACCTAGAATTTGTAATGAAGCCTCTGTCTTTCATGCTCAGTTATTGAAGGCTTGAGATAGCCAGTATAGCTGATTTTCAATGATTCTAATTTTGTCAATAAACCTTCTATTTAGTAGAATTGACTTTTACTCTTGAATCTTTGCTAGTCTTGGTAATTTGCCTGCACCGTAAGTCACCAGCTAGGGTTTCTGATATTGACATAAACACTCTGAAGGCTAATGAAGAAAGATATCAAGTTCAAGGCCAGTCCAGGCTGAATAGCATGACCTTGTCTCATAGAAGGAGGAGAAAAAAAAAGGGGCAGAAGGAGGAGAAGAAGGAGTTGGTGGAGCAGAGAAAGACAAGGGCGTGGAATTATAGTACAGTGCTCTTGAAACAGTTCTTTCTGGAGCCCTGTCTATCTTGAAAGGAATTCAGCAATTGTAAGATTGTGAAAAAGCCCAAGCTGATCATGTGGAGAGACATTCAAATTATTTCAGCCACAGTCCTCAACTTCATGGAGCAGATATAGGCAGCTGTGTTGTAGCCTGTCCCCCAAAGCCATAGGTCATGGGAAAAAAAGTGCTAGTTTTAAAACCACAGATCTGGGTTTAAAGTCTATCTTATACTAGCTGCTGTATCTTGAGAAAGCTATCTAGATCTCAGCTTATTTATAAAATACAGTACTTAGCTCAGAGGACCAGTTTAACAGATGAGATGGTGTTGGCCTCATGAAATATAGTTTCTGCAGAAATTATTCATTAGTAAAGAATATTTTTCAGTCTCTAGGTTGCAGATGTCAGATTGAAGATGTTCTTGGAACCCAGAGATGTGTATACTATTTGGTTGACTTTGGGTCTCAATAGTTTGCATTCACATATTGTATGTTTTCTATACCACCTAGTGCTCTCCTTTTTCCCATAAGTTAAATGAGTTGTTACAAGATTTATATGTCTACTTCTTGGACACTTTTATGATTTAGATCTGATTTGTCCTGTAAAGACCATATGTTAATTACCTGTGACATGATAGAGGTGGGGCAAAGATTAGGAAGTGGACCTAGGCCAAAACAGTAAAGTCAATAAGGATATTCCCTTAAATTGGGTCCCTTGTTCCTTCTCTCTCACTATTTCCAAGCTATCATGAAGAAGGCAGCTTTATGTCATGTGTTTCTTGGCATAATGTTTACCTTGAAATAAGCCTAATACACTGGGCTCAGTGACTATGAATTAAAATCCTTGACCCTGTGAGCTAAATACATCTTTCCTTTCTTTTTTTTTTAAGGTTTATTTATTTATTTCATGTATATGAGTACACTATAGCTCAAACACACCAGAAAAGGACGTTGGATCCCATTACAGATGGTTGTGAGCCACCATGTATAAGAATTGAACTCAGGGCCTATAGGAAGAGCAGTCAGTGCTCTTAACTGCTGAGCCATCTCTCCAGCCCATATCTTTCCTTTCTTAAATAACCTCAAATATTCTGTTGCAGTGATAGAAAGTCCTGTAGCATGTCTGCTTTTTTTCTCTCTGCTCTTTTTGTGGATTAGGGTTCTAATGCTACCCCAAAGGAGATTGGTAGAGCCATACCATGTCACAAAGTACTTAAAGAGGGAAGTGATTGGTCAACCAGTCTGAGTGATGGAGGATCACAAGGGAATCAAGGGTTCCCACAGGCCCTTTTCATCCTATAACAGAAACCATTAAATGCTCAGGGTATGACTTTGCATTGGCACTAATGTGGCTGCCTGGGAAGCATTAGCACATTTTACTTTTCTATGAAGGAAAGACCCACACTTGTGTCCTTGGATGTGTTAAACAATGTCAACTAGAAGAAGGGGCCAAGAGAGAGGTATTGTGGTGGTTTATAGGCAGGAGGTGAGAGAAACCGCACACTCATTTTCTCTCACACTAATGGATCTGCAGTAAGTCTTGATGCTAAAGATACTGCTACTGTGAAACAGAAGGGCTGGGATTAAGGAAAGTCTTTCAGGGCTCTGTTTGTGTTTCTCTTTCTCTGATGATGTATTCCTGGCTCATACAGAGAAGGGACAGCCATTTTCTATTCTCCAGAGCTCTGTCTGTTAATGTCACATTATTTCAGTTGGGAAAAAGTGAAAAACAGCATTGTAGACAGAATTCTAAAGTATTTGAAGACTACTTTCCTCTTCCAGGTCAGAGTTTTGAAGTCTTAGGAAACAAATTAGTCAGTATTTGGGCCCAAGGCTGTTTCTTTATCTTTTGTAACTATGCATGTTTAGCAAGAGGGCTCCATATCTATTTAGGCTATTAATCAAATACCACTAAGTGTAAAGTCATCAAAGTGTTAACATGACCTTTAATTAGAAATTCATAGATCTTATCTGTGGGCCATCATTAATTTCACCAAAACAAAATCCACAGAAATAAAAACATTACCATAAAATAATATCCAATGTTTATTTTTTAAGAGTTTTCCTTACTTTATTAAACCATACTAATATTCTTTCAAGGACAAACATACAGCCAAGGATGCTACAGTGAGAGAATCTTATTTTTATCATCGAGACGTCACAAGGTGCTCTCTTCAGTGGTGCTTCTTATCAGCATTCTGGGAAGCATTCCAGGAAGCCAGGAAATATTCAGCCCCTAAAGCTGCCACAAACATAGCAAACCCCCATTTGAATCCTTTTAGTATTACACTCCTGAAGGTGATGTTGCTTGCAAAGCCGCCCATGTATCTCCAAGCCTCATTGCGAGCCCATGGATCTCTCAGCCCTCGTGCAGCAAGCTTCTTCTGCACCGTTTCTAATGCTGTCCCTTCAATTTTCCACTGTCTGTAATCTGGAAGTTCCATTTTACCATGTCTATGTCCATGTCCATCAGTCATGTCTGACAGCAATCTGACCTCCCAGGACACTCAATATTCAACCTTCCAGTCAGAGCCAACCGGAAACGCAATATCCAATGTTTATAAGGACTTACTTTGAGTCAGATTTGTAAGTACTCTTACAAGTTCTAACCCATTTTTATCTCTTTTTTATTTCCAGGAAACACACACCAACTTTATTAGAATAACAGAAACTTCCAATTTATAAGGAAAATAACATGAACCCAGCACCACCTGGTGTCAGGTCACATTACTGTTCTGATGGCACCTGGCCACACTGAGGGTCACAGGATAACCCCATCATAGCTGCTGCAAGACCACACTTCTGACATGACAGTTTCATCATCAAGGCTGCACACAGACTTGTTTTGAAGCTTTTGAGTAGAAAGGATCAATGTGGAGAGCAGAGCCTTGTTTTTCCAACTAAAAACAAAAAGGAAGCTAGGGACTAAGTAGGCGACATCTCCTCCAGTCTGCTAGAGCGCTCTATGGGCACTCAATTCCACCTCGGCAACACAGGGAGGGAAAGGAGTGGCAGGGGGCCAGGACACTAGCACTAGCAGCAGACTGCTCTGGTGACACTCAGCTCCTCCATTCCCTTTCTGCTTGTGGTAGTAGGCGTCTTTTCTGGCAGTGGCAGCAGCTTGATGGGAGAGGAAGGAGCCACCCACCCATCACCCCTTCTTGAAGCCTTATTTTTTTTGCGTTCATAGAACGAGTCTGTCTTAGAGCTCCCCAAATTGACAGTCTTTGGCAACTGTCTCTATCCTTCTCCTGAATGGTGCACTCTTTACAATAGTAGGCATCGGAGACTGAGGGACCTCCACAGATCACACAGCGGCCCTGGTAAGATCCATAGTTACACTCTTCACAAATGCGAACCAGGGTGCAGGGACACACATAGGAATCACATCACATTTTTCACACAGTCTTCCGATAGCCACACCTGTCTGTTTGAGGCAGAAAATCAAATCTGGAAGATGTTTAGCCATAACTCCTTTTCAAGCCGGCGGCCAGAAGCTTAGAGAACTCCCATTTTTATCTCTTATAGTAGTTCCAAAAGGAAGAAAATAGTCACATTTCTACTTTCACATTAAGACCAGAGGTATGTTGGAATAAGTGTTAGATGAGTGAATAACTGCCACTCAAAGTCTTGTATTACTACTCAAATTTTACAACTGCAATGTAAAGATATTATCCTGTTATCCTTGTCATAGTTAATCCATCTTCTAATTGTATGACCTTGAACAAGTTGCTTAAGCTTCCTAGTCTCAGTTTCCTTAGGTATAAAATAGGACCTAGACCACAGAATTACTGCAAAATTTAACTCAATTTATATATACTGAATTGTTAGAATATTATCTAAAAAAATAAAGTGACATTTATATGTGTTTTCTGATATTGCTTTTATTTTCATTATAAGCATATTTTATATATAGTTTTTGAGACAGAGTCCTACTATCTTCTTTAGGCTGGTCTATAGCTTATGACATAGCCAAGGCTTGACTTGAATTTGTGCTCTGAATACCTCAGCTTCTCCAACAATGTACTTAAAGTATGTACCATCACACATGGCTTAATTAAATGTGTTGATTTCATTTTAATAGTTATTCATGTAGTTTAAAACAATTTTAAATATAGGTTCAAACAATTTAGCATCATCCTTCTCTTTCTTCTATTATTCAAACATTTAAAAGCTTTATCACTACTCTCTCAATCCACATTATGATGTTGTTTGGTGTCAAACTAGAAACATAAATACCTGATATCTTTAGGCTTGGCTACATGGCAACCTGAGGCATTTGCCATCTGCTCTTCTACAGTGGAAAGCTCTTCCCAGATTACATGGGTAATCAATTCACCTTGTGCTCCAAGAAAAAAAAATCAGTACACTTTCAATACTGAATCCACATCTCTCCTTCAACTCAGATTCTGGACAAGGCTTAAAGCAGCCTCTTTTCAGCAGCTCAGCTCTCAGTAGAGGAGAAAAACCAGCCTTTAGATGTTCCTTTCTCTCTGCCTTTCTCTGAGATAAGCAGCCCCCTTCACCAGACTGTTTGATTATTATCAAATGTGTCAGCGGTATTCTTTAAAAAAAAAGAAGAAGAAGAAGAAGCAGAAGAAGATGTATAAAATAAGCAATCAATCCTCCAGGAAGACCTGAGGGTTGGCTTTGAACAGATTGAAGGAACTTCAGTGAATTAATGGATACATCCTCATTAAGCTGCAGATGCAGGTCACTGGGAGGCTGACTCCTAAGCTAGAGGTACAGTGCCTCTGCAGGCAGCCAGGATGAGGTATCATAATTCTCCACCCCCTGCAGAGCACTTGCCTCCAACATCTTTATACTCTCATGGTGATACCTGTAGAATTTTTCTTTCTTCCCTTTAATCTTTCCCTCCAAAGCAGTCTGGATCCCCTGCTATGCACCAGATACTGTGCTTACTGACAGTTAGATAGGAAGATTAAGATACCATTCTTGCTTTCAGAAAATTCACACATCGGTAGGAGAAGCTAAAATGTAAAGAATTCTGTAACATAATGCCAGGCTAAATATGATACTCTATTAATATTCTAATATCACTTGGTACTTTCTTTCTCTCACATTGCTTGTTGGTAAATGTACTCATATGTTTCATTAACTAACATATACACCCCAATTCATAATATAAAGTATAAATCTTTGCACTAATTTATACTTAGTGATTAACACACACAAGACATTGTTTTAAGTGTCTTCTCTATACTGATTTTTAATCTTCACAACTATCTTAAGACTACTCTAATATTGTTCTTATTCTACAAACAAGGAAACCGAGACATGGAGAATTTGTGGGTATCAGATCATAAAGTTGGTAAGACATAGCCCAGATATAAACCTAAGCAGCTTGACTACAAATCTCTGCTCTCAATTATTCAGCTCTACATAAAAGGAAAGATACTAACTTTAAAAAAAATGTCAAATGCATTACTTATAGTTGTTAATATTTTGGAAGAGAGGTACCTGAGTACACATCACACGTTCTTTTAATTAAAATATAATTACATTATTTCCTTCCTTTCTCATACCAGGTGAGGGATCTGAGGTTGATACACACACACACACACACACACACACACACAAACTACTGAGTTCATTCAATATTACTTGCAAATACAAGATTTCAGGGCTAACCACTTGGTATTGGATGACTAATTAGGGGGCTCCTACCTGGGAGAAGACTACTTCTCTCAGCTTTCCTTAGTTGCCTTTAGTTTTTTGTCTAACGGTGGATCCCCATGAAATTTTCCTCATCCACATTAGCATGTTTATTGGTGTTGTACTTTTTTAGGTCTTGTTTAGCTATATTCTAGAGGTATCGTGGATGAAGCTTATCTATTCTTTGTAAAAGTTATAATTTCACTATAGATTTCCTGATACTCTAGCAGGAATTGCATTGCAGATATATCCATTGTAGCCAGGCACCCCATAATTAGTTGTTCTCTGAAATTTGATCAGTTGTTTTATGTAATGGTTTCCATGTGTTGCAAGGAGAAGATTCCTTGCTGAGGTTGGAGGTACATTTATCTGTGGGCTTACATATCAACACTTTCTAAGCTGTTTAACAAATGCAGGCTGTTAAAATTTTATTCTCAATTATTTTTTAAAAAATGATAATTTTTATTCTTATAAAATCTCCTCATGTTCAATGTCAATTCCAGGTAAATGATACATTAGATATAGTCCATAAAAAGGATAGAAGGGAAATGGTGACGTTAAAAAGAATATTTACTGAAAAACAACACTGGAAAAAGTTCCCATCCCAAATACAAATTTGATATATATAGTCATATTTCTAACTTAATGTTTGTTATTAGAAAATTAACCAGCTATTTCCTAAGAGACACCCCACTACCACTGCAACAGCTTAATTTATTAGCCTATGGGCAGTAGAACCCTGAAAAGTTCTTGCTACCATCCTCAACTAAAGTCTATTATAATTAAAAAAGACCCAGTGAAATTGCTCAGCAGGTAATCACATACCTCAGAATTTGAGGATCAACATGGTATGGTGGAAGGAGAAAACCAGTTTCTACAAGTTGTCTTCTAACCTCTATATGCACACTGTGATACACAAGCACATAAACATACATATACACACACATTATTAAACTTTTAAAATTAAAAATAGATCTTTTTCTATGACTACATAATCTTACAAGATTTGTAAACTATTTCATTATTCATACCTTTTAAAAGCAGAGTGTGGAACAATTTTATTGATGGGTTAAATTTTTGTTGGTATTTAAAGCATGAAGTCACAAAATTTTCAACTAATTATCTATATAGATTTGGAAACATTGGCTTCCCTTGGTCTCAGTTTAGTTAGTTGTAAAAATATTTAAGGGTTCCTTTGCTCTCCTCTAATTTTCTCAAATTTGAGATTGCATCATTTTTTTAATTTTCCTTCTAGTGCTGGGATTAGACACAGGTCCCCACACATGCTAAATATACATTCTACCACTGAACCACATCCTAGGCCTGGATTACCTTTTTATATCTCTAGGCAGTGCTTTCTCTTTATTCAATTACATTAGGAAACAACATTCAAGTTTCACTGTAGTTCAAATTCTTTCCAATAATACTTACTGTAATAAAAACTATCTCATTCATTTATAAAGTAAATTATAGATTAGACTTAGTGTCTAATAAAAAAATGCCATTTCCAAAGAGTCAATAAATGGACAGGAGGAGGACATCTTTTGCAGAGCTGGCTAGTATTTACAAATACCAGTTTTCTGATTTTCTTCTGGGCCCATGGCTAGACCACATCCTGCAATTAATTGAAATCATGTGTCTGGACTTCAGCAAATGAAATATGTAATGGCATACACCATATCCAGGGCTGAAATGTTGAGAACTTCTTTAATGTATTCTTGGATATTCTTTCCTACTAGCTAAGAAGGCAGAATATGCGGAATGTAGAGAAAAAACAGAAGTACAAGACAACAGAAGCCTGGCTTCCTGCATGAGTATCTGAAACAAAACTCTTCTGTAGACTTCATTTTGATTGTCACCCTGAA